AATACACAAAATCCTACACTGTTGTTTCTAGGGAGATCGAGAGGGGTAAGGCATCAAGGTGTCCAGGCCTCGGATGGATAAACGAAGTTGGGTACAGGTTGACGCGGGGACCGATCCGGGACATTTGGTAACGTTCTCCTCCAATCTCACAAGGGAGTCTCTATCTTTCGATAATCACTGCTCAAGGCCCGGGTGGTCCTCCATCCGCTCCATTCGATGATTCAGACTCTCAGAATGCAGATCAGAAACGGAAGAGTCTGCGCGGGGGGACCGGGATGAGACAGACCTCTCAGGGATTGATCGAGCCAGGATATCAAAGCGTAGAGCTGAACATTGGGGCACCAGATGCAGAAATACTCATCGAAGCCTTGGCGCCTACGCGGAAAATTGAGCATACTTCAAGCGTTCCTGAACCCGGTCCTAAACAGAATCTTCGCAGTTTTTTTTAATGAGAAGATGATTCGGTCTCAGAGATCCCGCTGAGTCCCAAATGACCGATCCGCCGCAGGGGCGCATTCATGCGGCTCATAAATGTGAGCTACTCTGATTCTAGATTCCGGGAGATGATTCGGGCGCTCGTTCATTGTTCAACTTTCGGTCGAGTAAACGTCCGTTAAAAAAGACCCAGGTGCTCCTGGCTTCATCAATCGATCGGGACTCATTCAACCTCCGATGGTCATGTATAATATAATATTTCGCTCAAGGGGGGATTCCATGATACGAATTTCGATTTCGATGAGGGTCGGCGTTCACCAGTCCTCCAATCGCATTCCGCCGCATCAATGAAGAACACGGATGAGCTCATTCCCGGAATTCCTCCGCGGACCATTGGAATGGATGACTCATTGTCAAGCGGGATCCCTCGCGAAATCCGGCCCGACAAGGAAGCCACTATGTTTGTGAGGTCTTGTAGAATTGCGAGGGATTGGCATGATGGCTTTCCCGTCGAGCGCCGAAAAACCTAGCAACTTTTGTGCTTCCTTCGACGACGGCTCGACCTTCATCGGACGAAACTGCCACCGCCCAGACTCAATCTCATGATCTGGGAGCGAGAATTTCCGCGATGAGAATGAATTCGAGAGGAAGGGTTCAGGCAGGGGCTGCTCCGGGAAGCAAGCGGTCTTTGTTGCAAGAGGAGAGCCTAGTTCTCCGTCTCGTACCTGAGACGAGAGCCCATCTATGGTAAGATTATGAAGTTCAAGAGTTTCCAATGATCGAGGGCAGTTTAAACGGAGGAACAGCCCCGGAGCTCAAATAAGCTCTAAGCAGCTTCGCAATGCCGATCATAGGCGATGGCACACAAGAGGGCCGGGAGCTGTCGGAAAATCGAGAACTTTCCGGCGGAATATTCCGCTTCAAGACTCATCGAGTCCGTCAAGTGCATGGTACAGTACGAGCTGTCGCAGAAGTTTCCCTCTATGTACCGACAATACGTGCGAAGCAGAGCGCCAGATGAGGATCCGATTAAGAACAAAGATCTTCGGACGCTTTGGGGCAAGCTGGTGGTGGACCGCCAGGGCTTCCCGCCCCGATACATACGGATATTCGGTACTCATGAAGGATAATAATTATGAGAACAATGCGCCTCTAGTGAAAGACAGTACGTAGGTCGGATGCTTGCAGACTGATTCATCGAGGAATGCATCTCTCTGGATGGATTGCAAAGGCACCTGGATGAATCAGAGGATTCAGGTCCTCGAGAGACATTGGACCACCAATTGCAGAACGGCTCGCCGGAGCTTCGAATTTTTGATGGAGATCAAGGAAAGTCCGCCCATCAAAATCTCCACTGTCTTTTTCTTGTGAGCGTGCGATCGATTCAGGGAAATCATCCGCCTGTCGGCGACCGTCGGTATCTCCCCTAAGATGACGTCTGATTCTCGAATGACCGAGCGATCCCTGCAGGGGATATGCAGCAGCTGCGAGCTTTTGGAGTTTCGGAGTCCTCGGGTGAACCGCCATCAGATATGAATCACAGCGAGCAAATCCCCTCTCATCTATTGTTCCACTCCACTATCTCGAGGATCCGAAGCTCCTTGTTCTCGGGTTCATCTCACTTGGAGCAAGAGTTTGCAGAGAAGTTACCTGTCCGATCTCTTCCTATCGGGGCCGCATACAGAAACCGATTCCTCAAAGGATCAGTTCTGAATTCTGATAACGAAACCGCCGAATGGTGATGTGACGAGGGCTCCTGCGAAACTCGCATGAATTCGGTCCTGACTCGAACGGCTATTTTCGCGATGGCCAGTCAGTCCGCCTCGCGACATGTCAGCTGGCACACTTCCGAAAAACGCAGAGGCACCGAGAATGTGAAACTGGTGTCGAAGTTCAGCAACCTCACCATCAATGCCCCGGAGAAAGGTGAGCATAGCAACAAGGCCGTTTTCCTATCGCTTCTCGCGTAATCCAGCCAAGGTATGAGTCATCTTGACTTTCCTTCTAGAAACATCCGGGCGAGAACTTGAGCGACGAATTTTGTGTCACCTCTATTCGAAGATCGACCGACAGAACGCATCCTTGATTCACGCCACCTACGTGGCTATGTCTCCTTTCCTAGAAGATGTCGAGTTCGATACGTCAATGACCCCTCATGAATATTTCGCCATGATACAGTTCACCCAGTCGGTCAGAGAGATGCGTGCTCGGATGTCAAAGCGGTTGTTGGACTGTGAGGACGTTCGCGACCACTTTGAGAATTTGTACTGTCTCTACATGGACTTCGTGGAGCTTGACGCTTTCGGAGCGGCTCGTGTAAGTTGGGGTCGATGAACATGTCGCAGAGCTCGAAATTGGATCTGGAAATAAGAAACGGGAACGAAGGTTTGACAAGCGTAAACAGCGGCTTGCAGAAGATGTCAGTGACTTGATTCGCGCCATGGGGGAATTCATCAGAATGCTCGAAATGCTGTCCGAACATCACGTCACGAACTGGGTGAGAGTTGCCGCGCTCCTCGACAGATTCGATACCAAAAAAGACGCTCCTGATTCCGACTACACACCCGAAATCTCTTGGTTCCTCCCGGCGGAGGAACTGCTGGGTGAGTTCTCGTGGCCAAGGGTGTTCTTGGGAGTCGAGAAAACAGCTAAACTGTCTTCCCCTGAAAGAAACCTTCCGAGATAATAAGACACTGAAATCCCAGGTATCGGAGGATTTGGTTCGGTTCATCGATGCCGTTTCCAAGGGGTTCCGGTAGTCTCAGTGGAGCTGGTGGAGAGGTCGAGATTCAAATCGGAATCTTATTCCGTCGCTGGGAAAATTGTCGGGGCTTTTCTGAATTCGATTCATCTGTGCAGGTTCGGTTCACATCAAAAGCCCCTAAGATAGCGCGAATCGCGCTTTCGGAATCACCTAAGAGGTCCAGGCCATGAGAGATTCTCTCCTTCCTCCGATAGGAGTTATGCCAGTTTCGCGACGGAAGACTGTTATGTATCGGTGCTGGAATACCTCGAGGGGATAGACTTGAACAGACTGATCAAGGGAGCAGGCAGCATACCGATCGAGTTCAACAGAGTGATATCGGCCCAGCTGTGCATGGCATTGAAATATTTACATTATAAAGGATTCATCCATCGAGATGTCAAGGTTCGTCTCTGGGGAAAATGCGGTCCGGAATCTAGATGCTGGCGGCGCACTCTGTCGTCAATCACGTAGAAACGTGTCTGTGGACTCCACTGCATATTTTCCTTCCCTCGCTGCATCGCCCCTCAACTTCGAGTCCGATACGATAGAAGTCAGAGTCCTAATGCGGCAGGCCCCCACCAGCGCCCCGCAAGCGGCGTTATACCCTCTTCCCAGGCCTGCAACCATCGAATCGAAAGGGAGAACTTCTTTCATCGAACTTTATGCTCAGGGCATCGTCGGCCTCATCTTTGGGGGCAGGTGAGGTTGGTTGGAATAGGCGAGGAAAGCGATTTTTAGCTGATTGAGAACGTGGAAATCGATAAGAAGTCTCTTTCCGAATTTTCCACGCACGATACACAGGATCCCAGACTGAGTCGACCATCTCTCGCTCATCAGGACGTCGATTCTTGCAAGAGAAGAATCGATGAAAAATGCTCAAGCATCTCTCCCGGGTTCATGATATTTGTCTAGAAAGAGCGCAACACGCCGCTTGCGGGCCGCTCTGGTCGGGGTCTGCCGCATGAGTACCGAATTCAGCTCCGAAGAGCCCAGAATCATCCGGGAATCATGACCAGTCACCCTTGGTGGATGACTGCTCGGAATTCCATCCCAAAAAATTCTGACCGCTTCGAACATCGATTATTTCCGTCAAACATGGAACGGGAATGGAAAGTACAAACTAGCCTCTGTCACTAGCCCGCGAACATGATGATATTGGGAGGTTGTCGCCTAAAACTGATCGATTACGATACCGTGAAAATCTGCATCGGAAAGTTTTCTACGAAAGCTCGATTCAAAAGCTTCTTCAGGAGGACTGCAAGGGAGTTCTATGACAAGCGAGCTCCGGGAACCGTCATGTTCATGCCTCCCGAAGTTCTGACGGGCGCCGCTTACGGCCGCGCTTTGGACTGGTAGAGAAATCCCGGTGACATTAATGCGGAAGTAGCCGTACACCCTACCGTCCGATTGTATCAGCAAGTCAACGATTTTTCCAGGTGGGCGGTAGGAGTGACGATTTATCAACTGCACTTCAATGCCATCCCTTTCGACGACCCCCGTTTAGCTAGGGTGAAGCTGAATATCGTTGACAAGGATCTCGAATGGCCTCCTCATCAGGAAATTCCATCGGACATGGCTGATATTGTGGCCGGCTTCCTGGTCAAGAAACCCACAGGTGAGTCCTGACTTATACCTTTTTGGCCGTCCCGGTCTCTCTCTTCCTTGTGCCCGGGATTGATATCGGAACTCTCGCAGACCGACTCGGCTCCCACTCGTATTCCAAGATTGAGAAACACCGTTTCTTCGCTCCCGTCGACTGGAATAAGTGGGAAACAGGCCTCGGTTGGATGGACTGGCCTCTACTCGATACATTCATCGCAAGTAAAGGTGATATCCTCCGGCAGCTTGAGCCGGCGAAATTGAAGAAAATCGTGCGACTCGAGAATCAAGAGGTGAGATTCTCACGACGAGATTGAATCATCGTGCTCCCAGGTTGCTGGAGGCCGGTTCGCTCAAGAAAGCACTATGTTTGTTTCGCAGCCGACCGCCGCTCACGCAGCCTTGTATACATACTTCTCGTCGGGGTACCGTCGAACACTCGACAAAATACGCTCTGGACAAGCTTTGGTCGGAGACGAGTTCGACGAGAACTTGGAAGTTCTGAGAGATCATGACCAGCCCTACATTTTCCAAAAATACGTAACATGATAGAGCGTATTTGAGTCAAACAAATCATCAGATAGTCTTGTAGTGGAGCTTCATGGAGACCTGAAGCCCGTGCTCTGTTCCATTCTGCTGCTCTTCGGGAATTATATAGACTTCTTCAAATACACTGAGAGAGTGGTTTTGGGGAGGGTATGTTCGGAGAGTCGAGGCGTCATAATTTTATTAACCTTAATGCTTTACACAAGTCAGTCGGTTTTGACCGGTATGGGCTTATAGATGAGAGATTTCTTGCGTTTATGTTCTCCTCCGAAGTGTTTGAACCGCGAATCCTTCTTCTTTTTTGAAACACCAACGTTGATGTCCACCTTCGGCGGCACCACGAAGCCAAACGACTTACCCACGGCAACAAGATCAATGGTTTGGACATCGAATATTGATTTCAAACTATGGCTCTCGTAGGCTCTGATGTAAGCCTTGTAGGCCTCTCGCGCCGAGCAATGCAGGAAATAATTCTTCTCGATCAATTTCTCAAGCTGGGGTTGAATGTTCGCGATTTTGCTCCAACTGAACTCGAATTCTTGCATGGGGACCTTCGCAACCTTGAGATACCTCAAAAAACCGACTTCTTCTGGTCGCAAGATCAACAGAGCGTGGCCGCTACCCCCCTCTCCACGGGCCGTACGTCCAACTCGATGAATGTATTCCTTCGGATCGTCCGGAGGATCGAACTGCACAATCCAATCGACCTGAAATGGGAGCGAGAAAAGGTGAGCAATTTCGAAGCAGGGCCCGAGGGATCTTTCACAAGTATCTATTGCCGGAAGATGCGATTGCAGGAAGCCTATGGAATTCCCGGGAAATCATCGAGCTGGAAACGGCTATCCTCACCTTCGGTATGTCGAGTCCTCTCGCTGCGACATCTGTACAAAGCAAGATGCCACTGTCAGCATTCGAGAACTGGAAGAACGTCGTAGTTCGTTTGGCCTGCTTCTGTTTACCGTGAATTGACATAACAGGCAAGTCGATGTAGTTCAGGAGCTCGTGGTGGAATTTCACAGACAAGCAGGACGAGAAGAAAACCATGACTTTCTTGGTACGATTTTCTTCAAGAAAGTGAAGAGCAGCAGGAAACGCTTGTCGCTAGGACAGATCACGTAGCCCTGTTCCAAGCCTGCGACCGTTGCGTGTTCTTCCTTCTCTTCGATCCCGACTGTGATGGGTTCGGTCTTGAGGGCAACCCGGGCCAATTCTTCGGTTTTCTTCGTTTGAGTGGCCGAGAAGAGCATGGTCTGTCGTCTTTTCGGTAGAAGGTGGATGATCTGTTTCATCTCCTCTTCGAAACCAATATCCAGGATCCGATCTGCCTCGTCGATGATCAGGCACTGGAGGTTCTTGATGACGAAATTCTTAGTGTTCTGCAGGTGATCCAAGAGTCTCCCCGGGGTAGCGATGAGAATGTTGACGCCTTTGTTCAATTTCTCAGCCTCCGAATTCCTGTTGGTGCCTCCCATGATCAATCCGAAGGTTTGTTGATGGAATTGAAGCAACTCTTTCAGGACGCCGAAGGTTTGCATTGCCAATTCTCGAGTCGGAGTGATCACAAGAACACCGGTTCCATTGCGCGGCATGAACTTCAGATTGAACATGAGCTCGATGGCGGGAATGAGGAAAGCCAGAGTTTTCCCGGAACCGGTCTTGGCGTTCGCGATCATATCGCGACCCTCAAGGAGATGAGGAATCGCTTTCAACTGGATTTCCGTCATTTTTTCGAAGCCCATCTCCGAGACAGCCCGCAGAGTTTTGTCCGATACCTGCAGATGAAGCAGACGATATCAGGTCCAGGATTCACCGATGGAGCCGGTCCTCAAGAAGAGAACTCCTTCCCTTATATGATAGCGGAGTGTCCAATATGAAGGTAGAACCCCTACTTCGCCTCTAGCGAATCCTTTGCTTGCTTCCGGAGACAAATCCTACCGCGGGATGCGGAGCTAACTCACCTTCTCCGCCAAACATTTGAACTCTTCCGATGACAGAATGCCAGCGGACGTGCCAGGTAGCTCACTCTCACGAAACTCTGGAATCTTTGATTCTTCCTCTTCATCGGAGGCACTCGAGGCTTCGTTAGTTTCAGTTTTCTCAGCTCGGGCTTTTCGCTGTCGCTCCTCTTGTTTCTCCAACTTGAACCGCTTTTGGGCCTTCTCTCTTTGTTTCAGCTTTCTTTTGAGGGTCTGTTCGTGGATTGCCATTTCGAAAGTGAAAAATTCTAACGTTCGAAACAGCACTTCAACACGATGGATCCACTATTCCTCTACACACGTGCTCGCTGCCGTCGTCGTTCGAGTGTGGAGAGAAGGACATCGTAAACAAAAACAGATCAATTCGAATTTTCGCGGGCGGACCTTCTGCATTGCCGGCACGTCTCAAACTCCGGAATGCGAGCGCCGAGCGCCGGAACTCCCTCGTCAGGAGTCGCTCAATCTGTCAGAACTGTGATCTCTCATCCAAGAATGTAGAGAGATTGATCGCTCACCGAAAATCACAGGATCAAGGCTACCTTTATTGATCTCATAGCGGAGTGAATGTGGAGTAATATAATCAGCAGATCTTAAGGGTCAATCCTACATCAATATCGACACAATGTTCGGTTCCAAATTACTCGAGACGAATACCAACAACAAACCACCACTGATGCCGCTAAGCGTCGCCATCTCAAACAATCGATGAGGCTGCCTTGTCGATGAGATTTTTCGACGAAGGAATTCGTTTCCGCGTTAAGACTATGTCGTTGGGCGTCATAGCCGTAAGCTCGTTTCGCTCAGCCCCGATTTGGTCGCCATACGCCCAATCGTACTCGATACAGTCTCTGCCCAGATCATCCGTCTGGAAGATGACTCTCCGCTCCCTGCCGGATGGCTCCGTGAGGGCTGTGGGAGACTCGCAGCGTTAAAGCGATTTTATGACTCGAACTTCCAGCGAATTCAAGAACATATAGAGCAAGGTACGAGCTCTAAGAGCAGTCGATGAGGAATCTGCGATAAGACTCACATGGTTCCGCCAAGACCTCGTCCAACTTTTCGTCGCGTATTCTGTAGAACTGAGTGTCGAAAATATGTTGTACTAACGCAGCAACGCAGAGTGGTATGACGACGAGAGGCACGCAAGTCAAGATTGCGACAAACCGCGTTGTGTTAGAATATCCCGCGAACTTCACACACTGCTCGGATCCATCGCTCTGGTAACCGGGAGCACAAACAACTCTCCCTGCACGTGAACAAGACAATATTCTCCTTTAAACGGCGAGCGAGATTGATCAGAGCTCCTGTAGAGTTGTAGCGCATGTCAAGAGCGATCCGCTCCAAATAGCTCACCGTCGCGACATTGATATTCGGGGCGCTCTATATTTACGGTGCAGAACGACGCCTGACTATAAGGCCTCACCGGATTCCGACATTTGTCGCCCAACCTGGCCACGACAGTCCCTGAACTTCTTGGCTCAGGATAGGCGTCCGATCGTCTGAAAAGTTTCTTGATCCTCTCGTCCTGGGCACCGAGGGAGGGATTCGTCAAGACAACGAAAAAAAGCAAGCTCGCGACGGTGTTCAGGCTGATGCTGGTCACGTCATGGAGCATCGTTTCTTCTTCGAACCGACGGGCGCTCATCCATGTCTTTCCAGCGGTGTGTGTTAATTTGAGAGGGAAATCTCGGAAGACTGAGTGGCCGCCCTCGCGGATAAAGGTCACCGAATCGACCCTTATGTACTCTGATATTGATAAATAATCAATGATCACTGATCACGTTCGTCTGTGGGAACGACATCGTCGTTGAGCAGACATGATGCACGGGCTAGCCATGCGGGCTTCCGGGAACTTGCGACAAAACCTCAATCTGACTCCAGAGGGGATAGAGCTGTCGACGTATGCGATTGATCTTGGAGCCTTCTGACCATGCTACCTATCTTAGTCACCAGATGAGGGTCACACATCCGTACCGCCGCGCCGCCGATCGTCCCCTCAGCCAGTCAGAAGTCAGAATGCTCGGCTCCTTGATGAAACCCCAGGAGAGATTCCGCGAGCTTCGAATCCTCGAATCGGAACACCGTTCGAAAGAGGTCGAGCAGCTTCCATGGGTCAAATTCATTCCCAAAGTAGAATTCTCCATCGACGCAGATTTGTGTACGCGATTTCTCTTGGGTAAAGGTGGTCTCGACTCTCGACCTTGGAGAGCGCTGAGGCGTGCGAGGTTCCCGCTCATAATGGATTCTCGTATCTGATTCTTGAGGTCTAAGAGCGCCATTTGAGGTCGAAATGCGTCTCGCGGTGAATATCGTTGTGCTTCTGGTGCTGATCAGGCGGAGTGAGTGCGAACGGCATGTTTCCATGAATGAATTCCTCGAAAATCTCCTTACCATGATGCGGAGTAGCACTGAGGACCCGGCAGAAAATCACGGAGGGAGGAAGAGGATATACGTGGTCAGTCCACCAGACGATCCGGCGGGGACGAATGAACTTCCCAGTGTGAGTTCCTTTGGGTCGACAGCTTGATTCGATGGAGTATGAAACTTTTTCCGGATCTACCGGAATGGACCTCCTAAGTGATACTCTTTCATACCCTTGCGGTCCACGGACACGTGTCGCTCGGCAACGCCAGTGCGACAAATCATAACCAGAGATCTTACTCCCGGAACTCAAAACTCTTCCTCGGCAAGTGTTTTCTCCACGCGATGAGGCACCCGGGGCAGAATGGATGTCGACCCCGAGGCGTTGAAGACGGGCGAGTCTTCCCCCAACCCTGGCTTGGGTACTCTCCGAAATCAGCCCAAGAGCGAGGGAATCTCGCCGACCGAGGAAAAAATCTGTTCACGGAGCAGAATGAGCGATTCCGAAATTCCGCGAGTGAATCTATCAGAGCTTGTTCCACGGTGGTCAGGAGAGATTGAGATCTTCGTCAAATTGTGAGAGTTCTCAACTGCCATCCATCTTCCTCGGTGGCCTCTGACAGCGGAACATTCACTTTCGCGCATATGTAGAATCTACCGATGCCTTAGATCTGGGGTTCTTGATTTGTTCCCAGCGCGAACGTATTCGGCTGTCCTCGTGGTTCTTTGCGCAGTCATTCCAGAATAATTAATCGGTAGCTTCGCCAGACGAAGAATGTTACCCACTTTCTTCTTGAACGAGCCCTCACAGTAAAGTACCTATAAGTTCTGATCTATTAGGGCGGGTCGACTCTTTCTCCGGCTATATCGAATATATTTTTCCATTGTATAGCACAGCAGAACTCATTTTGACCGACTTTCGGGACCCCCGAGAACGGGATCCGGTAGCCGCTCTCCGGGACCGAGGGGTCAGCGCGTTTGTCACTACTCGTGCAAACGTGCATAGCTGCAACGACGCCGCTCGCGCGGGAGGCGGCGTGGGTTCGATCCCTGCTGCCGGAAAAATATTCCTTACGGAAGCGCAGGTGCTCGGCCTTGATCCTCCTGGGTACATTTGCTCTATGGATCCGTCCTCGGAAGCAATGTGAATAACAGTACCCGGGAAGTTAAACCTTGGCTGTGTGGTTCAGCCCGAAAAAGTTTGGGACCCCTGCCTTAGCACAGTGGTTCCCAACCTTTTTTTCTCGTGGAACCCCTAGGGGCTCCACAGGGGTTCCACGGGTAGACTTCGGGGTTCCACGAAATTGTCGATGGAACCCCAGGGTTCCATGGAACCCCGGTCGGGAACCACTGCCTTAGAAGATTCATACAAAGCCCCCGCAAGAAGCTTTCCCACTGATTGCCGAAGCTAAACCTCAGAGAGGACTCTTGATTACTGCTCCGCGCATAAATAAGGACGTAGACCCTCGACTCATGCTCGGAATAAAGTCGCTTTCGTGTTTCTCTGCGCAGTCTCGAATAACTCCCTTCTCTTTAATCCGTCTTCTCCGCAGAAAAAAGATCGAGATCCTGGTTGGCAGCCCGAGATCAACGATATACAACATCCTGTGTCGTCCCCGTCCCCGCACCCCACTGCAGGAACCCAACCGCAAGCTCTTCCTGAGAAAGATAAGCCCGAGGGAGCTTTCGAGCCGGTTTCCGCCTCTCGCAAGCCTTCCGGCAAGGACTTCGAGGACGCTCCAACCCTTTCCGATACGGACATCAAGAGCCAGACTTTCGACCCGATTGTCGAAACAGGCACCCCTGAAACCAACGTCACCGACGTAAGCTTATTCCCATTAGATCAAGCATGAGCGACAGGTGGAATCAGGTTCACATCAGAAATCGATGTAGCGTCACATGGTCCTTGCCCCGAAGGATTGGGGTGCGCGCTACACGTATCCGGAGAGGAGAAACGCATCAAAGATGACAATTCGAGGAGGCTCATCTGTTGGATGGCGACTTCTTCTTGTTTGTTTTATCCCAGGTCGAGTTTTACGGAAGTAGAGCAACGGAAACGGAAGCTACCGCGAACGTCGCTCCGGAGCCGGAATTCAGCGCAACACATGGAGCAAATCAAACTACCGGTGACGCAAGTCGACCTGAAGCGGGTGGAAGTATTGCCGGCGTCTCAGATTTGACGGATCCGACCTCATTTTTCCAGCCTACCGCGCCTGCCACCGAAAGCAACGTGAGTTTTACGCTTACCGACGTTACAACAGGCGGCGTCGATAGGAGCCGATTCCCGAAGCGGAATCCGACTGAATAAACGGATGCTGCGCTTGCTAAACCTTGGTGTGACATCGATCTTGTCACTGCCAGCTGACGCGATTTCAATGAGTCATTCCATCGGGATGTTTCGTGCTTCCAGCTCTGAGTCAGCAGGCCTCATGTTTTCGTTTCAATTTGGGTCCTGCGAATTCTAGATCCGGTCACAGCTAGCCCGCATGCAGAAGTTTCCGATCTCTTCTCGAAATTATTCATAAACTTGGGTTCGATGAATGGTCAAGAGACCATTTTTGATTGATTTCTCTGAGAATTTCCAGATATTAGCGGAGCAGCATACAGCCGCCGATGAGCTCGATCATCCGACGGATTCATCAACCGAGAGGAAGACGATGATGATGACGCAGTCTCCTGACGAGGTATGCATGTCCGAGAATTCATCAGAGAACCGGCCTCACTCAGGCTGGTTCTCGGGAAAATATGCCGAGCGTATTTCAGAGGTATCTGAGAACATTATTTTCTGGAACTTCATTTTGTGTCGAGCACCGTCGTAGAGTCATGTTCTCGGCGTTTCTACGGTCGATCTTTATGTGACAATGACGGCTCACGCTTGCGTAACCCAAGGCATGATCCCAAGTGATTGTCACTCCTAGAGCCGTCCAATTCTATTCCGTCAAATCC